GTACACAAAGCACAACTATTTTAGAAAACAATGAATCTAATATATATCATATATATGAAGAAAAGTGTGACAAATATTAATATTATTTTTTTAAGGAAATTTCATTCTTTAGATTTTATTCAATATTTATCGAAGAAATATTCGATGCATCTATCTATCTATCTATCTATCTATCTATCTATCTATCTATCTATCTATCTATCTATCTATCTATCTATCTATCTATCTATCTATTTGAAAATTCTTTCCTTTTCTTTGATAAAAAAATATGGATATCTCTCTTTTAATATTTTAAAAATAAAATCATTTTATCATTCAACAAAGAAAATACTTTTTTTGAGAAAAACTTTAAAATAGAAAAACAAAAGCCATCTGAATTTTAAAAAGTCAAATAAAACGAAACTCAGGCATAGTTTAATTTTCAAGGTACTAATGTTCTTAAAACAAAATTTGTTTTTTGCAGAAGCAAAAGGTTGTGTACATTTTTGGCACACATATATTGTCCTTTTTCAGTCTAGAGAAGTGTTCAATTCTACCGATCAAATCAGAAAATCACTTTATAAAAAAGTTAAAATTGGAAATTATAAAATTTTAGAAAAAAGGATTTGAATCTGGCATGAAACTCCCTAAATGGAGAAGAAAAGAGATGAACGCAGGAAGAGAAAAAAGAAAGAAATTAATGCAAGAAGAAAAGAAAAAGAGACATGAATGCAGTAAGAAAAGAAAAAGAAACACGAATGCAGGAAAAAAGAAAGAAAGACATAAATTCAAGAAGAAAAGAAACAAAATGACATGGTTGCAAGAAGAAAAGAAAAAAGACATGAAAGCAGTAAGAAAAGAAGAATACACATGAATGCAGGAAAAAAGAAATAAAGACATTAATGCAAGAAGAAAAAATAGACATAAATGCAGTAAGAAAAGAAAAAGAGACACGTATGCAGGAAGAAAAGAAAAAAGACATAAATGCGGTAAGGAAAGAAAAAGAGACATGAATGCAGGAAGAGAATAAAGAAAACATTAATGCAAGAAGAAAAGAAAAAAAGACATGAATGCAGTAAGAAAAGAAAAAAAAACACGAATGCAGGAAAAAAGAAAGAAAGACAAAAATGCAAGAAGAAAAGAAAAAATGACATGGTTGCAAGAAGAAAAGAAAAAGATATATGAATGCAGGAAGAAAAGAAAAAGAGACATGAATGCAAGAAGAAAAGAAAAAAAACATGAATGCAGTAAGAAAAGAAAAAGAGACATGAATGCATGAAGAAAAGAATAAAAATGACATGGATGCCAGAAGAAAAGAAAAGAGACATGAAAGCAAGAAGAAAAGAAAAAAGAGACATGAATGCAGTAAGAAAAGAAAAAAGAGACATGAATACAGAAAGAAAAGAAGAAAGAGACAAGAATGCAGGAAGAAAAGAAAAAAGAGACATGAATACAGGAAGACAGGAAGACCGGATGAGAAAACATAAAGAAAAAGAACAAATCCTTGTAAACTGTTGGTAAATGTTAAAAGTTGTATAATAATATATACTTTTCCTAGATTTATGATATTTATTATCACAATACTATTTGATATAGTTGTTAATGTTTGTAGTTAGGAGAATATCTTTTATAAAGATAATAGAAGTAAAAATCCAAATTTTTAAAGGATCTAAAATAATTTATAGTTTGAAATATCAAACGTCAAGTCATCGGGTTGCAAAGATATAGGGATTAAAAAATCAAAGCTTGTGGAAAAAACTCCGTTGTAAGGGTGTATGTCGCATGTGTTGGCACATTTTTATGTCGTTTGGCATAATTTTTATGCCGATTGGTATTTGGTACATCTCTTATCAGTTTAAATTTGTTTTTACGGCTTCAGTCTAAAGAAAAATATTCTGCACAGATGAAAGCGTAAAAGAGAAACCTTTGAATGTACATGAGCAAAAATTGAAATAACCAACCTTCCATTCAAAGAAAATGGTAAATCATTGATGTGTTTTGAAGTAGAAAATATTGAAAAGGACTCAGGTTTCAATTTGTAGATTAGGAGGTTGGAAATAAAAATGAGTTTGAATCCATTTCAATATTTTTGCGACGTTCAGAGATTGTTTTGACATCTTTATTCCTTTTTTATTATTTGGTAGGAAAACATTGATCCAACGCACCAGTAACTGTACAATTTACATGCTCCCACTCAATCATCAGCATTTTACCATTTACTCTTTTTTAAGTAAAGCTAGAACCTTTAAAATTGATCCGGTCTAGAAAATAGATCCGGTCTAGAAAATAGATCCGGTCTAGAAAATAGATCCTGTCTAGAAATTAGATCCGGTCTAGAAAATAGATACGGTCTAGAAAATAGATCCGGTCTAGAAAATTGATCCGGTTTAGAAAATAGATCCTGTCTAGAAATTAGATCCGGTCTAGAAAATAGATCCGGTCTAGAAAATAGATCCGGTCTAGACAATAGATCCGGTCTAGAAAATAGATCCGGTCTAGAAAATAGGTCCGGTCTAGAAAATAGATCCGGTCTAGAAAATTGATCCGGTTTAGAAAATTGATCCGGTCTAGAAATATATCCGGTCTAGACAATAGATTCAGTCTAGAAAATAGATCCAGTCTAGAAAATAGATCCGGTCTAGAAAATAGATCCGGTCTAGAAAATAGATCCGGTCTAGAAAATAGATCCGGTCTAGAAAATAGATCCGGTCTAGAAAATAGATCCTGTCTAGAAAATAGATCCGGTCTAGAAAATAGATCCGGTCTAGAAAATAGATCCGGTCTAAAAAATAGATCCGGTCTAGAAAATAGATCCGGTGTAGAAAATTGATCCGGTCTAGAAAACAGATCCGGTGTAGAAAATTGATACAAAATTACCTCAGCTTTCTGGATCTGTGTTGAAACGAAAGGCTTATTTGTGATGTTTATCCCAATTTTGAGATCAATATTGTTTTTTACAAGTTTTGAAGAATATTCAAATATTTAAAAAAACAAGAATAATGACGGGATATCAACCTAAACAGTATCTTTATATTTATAATATCATTTGCAGTTATTTTTCTCTAACTCTAGCTTCTAGTTTGCTTAGTTTCATGATTTATCTTACGGTTTATTCTTCTAAACTTTTTGCTCTCCCTCATTCGTTCTCATTTGTGGTAAAAGGTTCTATTTACAGATTTACTCTTTCTACAGATATTGTAAAAACACTCAGAACAAGTTGTTTTTCTATCTTGAAAATATGTAATTCATTGGTTATTAAAATAGAATTTTTCTTTTGTCCCACCTTCATTTTTACTTTCTGTTATACTTCTTCTCCTTCTTCCTTCCTTTCTCACTTTCTACCTTTCTTTCTGCCTCCTTTCCTTCTTTCGTTTCTTTATTCCTCTCGTTCTTTGTTTTTACCCTTTCCATCTTTCAAGTTTTTGATAGTTTTTCCTTTATATTATCCTTCTTTCTTTCTTCCTTCCTTCCTTTGTTTCTTTCTTCCTTTCTCTTTTCATCCTTTCCTTTATTTCTTCCTTTCTTTTCGTTCTTCCTCCCTTTCTTTGTTTGTTTCTTCGTCTATATATCTGGGTCAGATGTCTCTAAGGTATACTGAGTGTTAATTTAGAAGTTTATATACATTACATTTATCGTTGAACCCTTACTTTAATACCATTATTTCATTTAGAGAATACAATGCCACTCTCAGGCAAATAGATTAGTTCTGTGTATTTTTGTCAAAATCAATCTTTTTTTGTATTTTTGATTCCTCCCTCACAGTCACCTGGGAAATATCATTAACATAATTTTCCCGAAAAACGAATTTCTAGTAAACTTTTGACGACTTCCCGCAATTCCTATATTCCGATTGTTTTTAACCCTTTTCTAATTACTGAACCAATTTGGGTTATTTCATAAACATTCTTAATGGTACAGGGTGAGTCAAAAAAAGGGTGAATAGCGAGATCTTGCATATAATAAAGCAGTTTTTTTGGTAATCTAATTTTTAACAAATATGTATGAAATAAAAAAAAATTTGATAGGCAATTTGATAGACCCTTTAAAAAACGAAACTATTTTTTACACAAAATTAGATGAGTAGAAAAACAAAAGTGCGGGAATTTATTATTTCTATCGCACCTTAAAATCTTAAATAAATAGATAAGAAGTTTAAGAGAAAATGCGCGAAATTAAATTAAAAAAATCAACATATTTTAATAATACGCTTTTGTATGCGTATTTTCCTAATATTATAACTTAGATATTTTACATATTGCCTATTAAAAAATTTGTTTTTGAAACTTTGAAATTTTTACCTATTTGTTAAAAATAAGATTTTCAAAAACTGCTTTATTTTATGCAAAATCTTGCTATTCACCCTTTTTGACTCACCCTGTAGATTTTCACTTAATTAGTTATTTGATTAGTTTAAAGATAAAAGTGAGATAAAAGGTCCATTCGATAATTGATAAATGGACAGACAGTGTTTAATTAAGAAAATATAAAGGAAGTGCATGCATTGGGTTAGTTATGTAATAAATACCCATAGTATTATAGATAAATTACGTTGTACATTTACCACACATCTTAATTCATTAGTAAATACGAAAATCATGTATTGCGATTAACCCAACCTATATACATATATATATAACCTCATCAAATCCATATTGAGATTAGCTTAACTACGTTATGTATAACTTGTAATTAGTTGATACTGAGACTCCGTACTGTTTTCTGGGAGAGAGTAATCGTTCCCTGTTTTAATAAAACAGGTTGCAGATTTGTGCCCATTGGTTTGGCATTGATAGTTGAAAGTTTGTGTCCCTTTTGACATTGATAACTGGTCCTCGTTGAAACATATGAGCTGAGATTGTGAACATTGCTTTGGCATTGATCGATTAAGAGCTTGTGTCCTTTTTGACATGGAGAGCTGACAAGTTGTAACTGGATAGTTACGGTGCTACGCATGTTTTCAGAGTTTTCAAAAATAAACGAAAGATACTCATTTTTAGTAGGACTCACTGTATTAACCCAGTTGTAACTCTCCTATTGGTCGGAAACTGCTCCACCATAAGAGCGAGTCTACTATTGGTCAGTTTGGATCGGGATTTACCTGAGAAACAAAATCCGACTCACTCTATATACAGAACTCGAGCCGTCAACAATAGTATACTCAGTTCTAAAATCGAGTCATTTCTCAGGTTTATCTTTTCAGACTCTTGTAATGGCTTGGTTCAGGTTGGACTAGATTCCTTTTATACATTTCATCTATCAGGATGCCAGCATATGTAAGTACGACGACCTTTTATTTCGTTCTATTTTGTATTTCCAGCTTGCGCAGTAAATGGAGTATTCCCCGTAACATTTTGTAAACCGCATTAGAGTCTGAGGCATTTTGGAATCCTTAATTTTGAACATTTATATTTATCTAAATTTGTATAAGTTAAACCTGATATTCTTTTTTCTTATGCAGATTTGATCCACTGAAACATGTTTCCAGAAGAGTAAGAATGGTTTAAACTTTACAGTTACATGCTTCAAGATTCTGGACGCGGGATACCAAGAACGGTTACAAAAGATGGAATCTAGGTAAATTAAAAGGGATTCTTTTTAGTATGCGAATTTGGTTATTTCCACCGATTCACGCTTAACATACAGGTTTGAGAAACCCATTTGAAGTAGGGCATTTATAACAGTTAGATCCTCCATGAACAGAATGAGTTTTGTTAGTTAGATCCTCCATGAATAGAATGAGTTGGGTTAGTTAGATCCTCCATGAACAGAATGGTATTTCCAATGTACAACAGTACAGTACAACATTACCCTTCAAACCTATGACAGCTCCAGATGGATTTAATTGTCCATAGAAAAGCTGATAATTGTTGAGCTCTTTAGTTCGTAATCTTTTTATATGTTAAAAGAAAAATTAATATTTACTTTCTAGAAATCCCAGGAAAAAATGTATACAAGGATAGAAAATTATTTGTCCTAATTATTTTTTACCCACTCTCTAGTTGATTCCATTTCTGAGATGGGATTTTTCCCGGAATAACGGAAACCTTAAAGGGAGTGTTTGCGAAAAATGACAGGGGTTATAGGTTTTATGCGATAAAAAATCGCTTTTGATCGCCACTAATAACCATACAAATACAGAAAATTGCATGATACGATTTAGACCATAAAATATCAATTTAATTTTAAGGTGTGGCGGGAGATTTACTTCTAACACAATTAAGATCACTTACCAGCTCCTAGAGTTATACAATGTTGGTGTAAACGCTGGCCTGGATTTGAAGCTGAATCTATGGACAAGGGATGGGGACAAGTTTTTTTCTTTTTCTCGCCTTCCTGGATCCAAGCATCAGAGAACCAGGACTAGGAGCAGAAGATGGAGAAGTTATGGACAGGCGAGAAATACCTCAAAGGATGTTAGGTCCCCCTTGCAGGCTGCAGGACCCTCCCAGGTGCGTGAGAGGTCCCATCTGCAGGTAGCTAGACCCCGCCAGGTGGATGAGAGTTCCCAACTGCAGGTAGCTGGACCCCGCCAGGTGGATGTTATTATAAAATATAAATTATATACAAATGTGGCGAAAGATAATCGATGACTATATGTTGTAATATCTGAATGATTTGTTTGGAATAAAATTGATTTTTTTATGGTCTAAGTCATATGTTGCAATTTTCTGAATTTGTATTGGCCCTAAGTTATTCGGTATGAGACGTCTTAAACCATTTTCTCCTTATAGACGCAACAGATAGAAGTAAGAATAGTAGCAATCAAAAGCACTTTTTTATCGCATTAAGCCTGTAACCCCTTTCATTTTTCGCAAACACTCCCTTTAAGAAGGAGACTTTCTCAGCTGTTTTGCTTTTCTTACACTACAAATCTTTCATTCCTTTTCTTAATTAACCCCACCCCATCTCCAATAATGAGAGGATCTAGAAATTGATCCTTATTTAATCCTTCCCTTATATACTTCCCTTTCCCCTACTCTTCCTCCCCATACCTCCTACTCACCTCTTACCTCCCCCTCCTCCACCACCCCCTTCTCATCCTGTATACCATCCCTTGTTGGATACTAATTATCCCAACCCTTAGATCTTGCTATCTACTCTTGGCACTTTTGTGTTGGATACTCATAATCTTAGATCTTGCTATCTACTCTTGGCAATTTTGTGATGAATACTCATAATCTTAGATCTTGCTTTCTACTCTTGGCAATTTTGTGTTGAATACTCATAATCCCAATCCTTAGATCTTGCTATCTACTGAGGCCACTTTCAATTTGAGGATCAATGCTTATTCTATTCATTTTAGTTATTCCTCGGGGTACTATTTCCATTCCAGATATCAAATTAAGTTAATATTAATCTGCAGATTTGAAATATTGAATGCACTGTTCCTTAGACTAGCTCCACCCTTTGTCTCTGGATTGCTCATGGATTCCGAACCTGCATAGAGAAAACAACTAGTTCCTTTGTGCCCCAAGATTTGAAGTCATACACGCTTCAGCAGTTCTCAGATAGCTCTGAGATAATTCCGAGAGCGAGTCCTCAGAGAGTTTAGAGAGTTCTCAGATAGACTTATAGAGTTCTCAGATAGTTCATATAGAAATACAGATAACCTCACTTTAGATACTCGGCAGAGGTAAATAATAGATCTTCCAGAATTTTTTAGAGAGTTATCAGATGGTATTTGAGAGTTCTCAGATATACCCTGATCTACTTTATATACTATAGAAAAGATCACTAATAGATCTTCCGGGAATTCTTAGAGGGTTCTCAGATATATCCGGATTTACTTCATAAACTCTAGAGAAGATCACTACTAGATCTTCTAGGAGTTCTCAGAGAGTTCTCAGATATATGCTGATCTACTTCATATACTCCAGAGAAGATCACTACTAGATCATCAGGAGTTCTTAGAGAGTTCTCAGAGAAATCACCCCAAATAGGTTCAGAAAAAGGGATACAGAGTCTTTGTCCTGAAGAAGTTAGAGTTGCAAGAGAAACAGCCGCTCATCATAGAACTACTCTTTAAAGATCCTATATGCCCGATTCAGATTCTTAGTTTGAGGTTTTATAGGGGTTGGTTCTGAACCATTGGATAATCCTCCTGAACCTCAACCAGCTTGAGTTAGTCCTCCAGCTTCAGAGAGACCGTTAATACCTGGAGCAGCTAAGATTGCAGGAGCAGCAGCTAAGGTAGCAAAGGGTCCGAGCGCAGTTAAAGTAGCAAAGGGAGCTACTATAATAGCAGAGGAAGCATCTAATATTGCAGGAGCAGCAGCTAAGGTATCAGAGGCTGTGGGAACAGCTAAGGTAGCAGAGGGTGCAGCTATGATTGCAGAGGGAGCAGCAGATGAACCAACAGTAAACCTGGCAGCTTCTGTTGCTGGTCTGATGCCAGAATTAAAGGATGATCTTTCATCCTCTGAAACATCTGCCCCCCAGATCTCCTAGTTCAGAGATAGAGCTAGGAGAGATTGTAGAACCGGTTGAAGCTGTAGAGATGGATCCTGAACCAGAGCAGCTTATTCATAATCTGGTGGATGCAGAACATCCTCATGATCAGAGTTATACAAAGAACCAGGATTTTGTGATCAACCCAGGCTATCTCAAAGGTGGTTTCCCGAACCTGGAATAACAAGAAGATTTAGTTAAGATTGACACTGTCTAGATTATTATATTAACAAACTCAAAAGTTGGCAATCTCATTTAATAATCTATCTGTAAGATAGAGATAAAGAAACGTTGAAAATAGAAAATACAAGGGATCAATTAAAGGTACGGCAACATAAAGCTAAACATTCACATAAGCCCTAACCAATGGGAGTAAATTGTGAAACTGGACTGTCCCTAGGATATAAGCATTGGTTGGATTTAATCTGAATGAAGAGAAAATTATTACTCTGCCATATGCTGACGATTTTTGCCTGATAACAACAGATCTGAGAAAACATCAAAAAATTCAAAATGAAATAAAATCCAAGATTGAAAGTATGGGAATGAGATTAAAACCAGCTAAATGTAGATCATTTTGCATGAGATCAGGTGTACCTAGCAGAATAAACTTTACTATTGGTAAAACTGAAATTCCAAATATTTTTCAAGAAGAGCAGAAATTTCTTGGCAAACTTCTATTTTCTACTGGTAAACTTAGTGATGCGTTCGACTACATCAAGAGTGATTTTGAAAAAAAAACTAATAAACATTAATGCACTCTGCTCACTGTTCATGCAATACAAAGCCATCTGAAGAAACTGGATACATTCCCTAATGTGAAAAAATGGACTGGATTACCACCCTGTGCAACAAATTCTGCTCTACACTTGAAACCTGGCCTAGACATCACTTCAATATCCACCCTGTACAAAACAACTATGACGCAAGCATGACACAAGGATAAAAATACTGGGTGATAAAACAGTTAACTCTGCCTTACAATCTAAATTAGACAGGGAAAAAAATTGGCACCGCAAAAATTCCATCACAGACTATGCAGAAAAAATGTTTCAACAAGCCACATGGTCAAGCAGAAATGCCTGAGTGAGATGACCAAGCTTCCAAACATCAATGCTATAAAAAAAATGAAAACTACTCCTGTTTGGACACCCTGCCAACACAAGCTAACCTTCTACAATGGGGAAAATCTACATCAGATCTCTGTAAACTATGTTTACAGGCAGGCTCTGAATTGCAAGGTAGAAGACAAGAAACTACAAACCATATTTTGAGTTGCTGCATGGTTGCACTACACCAAAAAAGATATACTTGGAGGTACAACAATCTTATTAAATATATTACTGGATTAATTGATATTGACCGATTTTTGATGTATGCCGACATCCCGTTCCATATCTCCTTCCAGAGGGAGGTATTGTCCCCCCCCCCCCACCTCCTTGTGACCGCAGAGAAACCATATCTAGTAATTATCTAGTAATTATCAATAGAATGGAGGAAAAGATGGATATTTTTGAGCTTACTGTCCCATTGGAAACAAAAATCAAAAATGCCAACGCTCAAAAGATGAACAAGTATGAACATTTTATCACAGATATAAAGTAACTGCATAAGTTCTGCAAACCCAGTGTTAGTTTCAAAGCAATGTGTGAAAATATATCCAGCCTTGCAGTACCATCATACCACATTTTTCGAAAACGAAAAACACTAGACTGGGACCAAGAAAATCCATTTGTGCAAACCACCTCTGAATAGCTAAACTATGCTCATGCTAAATGTCTTTAGATAAATATATTTGAGAATACAAGGGATCAATTAAAGGTATACAGTGACATAAAGCTAAACATTCACATAAGCCCTAAACCAATGGGAGTAAATTGTGAAACTGGACTGTCCCTAGGATATAAGCATTGGTTAGAGTAATTAGTCCTTGAAAAACGTCAAGTAAACTAATCAGTAGTAGTTCATAAATGATCATAAATACTACAGATTAACATAATATCGAGATCAAGCATTGATCTCGATATTCACAATTCTGGGCGGAAGAAACAATTTTTGTAATTAATTATTTCAAGCTTATTAAAAATATTTGATGGGATACTTTTCATTTATATTTTCTAAAGGAA